TGTTGGGGGTAGGGATGTTGTAGATGAGAGAGAAAAAGAGTGACAGAAAGAGCGTGCAGTGGGGGTGGGGCCTCGAAGACTATATTTCTCTGTGTGTGTCTTTTGATTCACGGCTCTGTCGGCCTGATAGACGAGATCATATTACTGTGTGGCGGAACAGAAAGAGAGAGAACGTAGAAAGGAAGAGAAAGAGGAGAGAGACAGGAAGTGGGAGGAGAAACGAGGAAGCAAAGGAGAAATAAAATGAGAGGGAAAAAAGGTACAAACAGTGGAGCTGTACGTGTTTCATTTTAATAGAACAAAAAAAAAAATCAGTGGGCACATTATTCTGATGATTGCGTTAATGATGGTAAATATAATACTTCAATCCATTTCAATGCCTGGATGAGTCTGAATCAGAAATCAGTTTGATGAAGACYATTCTTCCCAGAGCGTGGTCAGAGCTGCCAAATTGGTCTCAGTGCGCCCGTCCTACAGACRTAATGTTTTGTATTGCTCGTACTTATTGTGTTTTGTTTCACAGCAGCAGAAGGAACATTTAGGAAGATGATAAAAAKATGTTTTATATTGTTTGTACACATAAAAGTAATATACTGTATATATACTGTATATAGATAGTTATAGGATACAGGGAAATGCTCAACAAAATGTACTGTAGAAACCATAAACATACCAAGATAAAACATTTACATAAATAGAATGTTATTGTTGAAGAAAGCCACCAAGACTTTGTTTTCACTGAGACTATAAAAGTGTTTACTTGAATATACATTACCCATAATTCATGTCTCCTATACACATATATGTCTCTTTGCTGTAGAAATATTATCAGCTTTTAGCCACTATAGCAATAAAACACAAAATATATTTTATTTTTAAAGAAAACTGGAGTATTTCTTTAAAACAAATCAAACATATTTTTTTGTTACATAAACCAATGCAGGAATCAGGATGTAATCGTTGGACTCTGGTGTTGAAGCTAAAAAAGTTTTAAACTCTCTCTTTCAGTCTATTTCTACTCTTGACTTGTATAGATTGTAAAACCTGTCAAACCATTTATACATAAAGTATTTTTGAAATTGCACACACAAAAAAGTAGAAACAACCGAGTAAAGTTGCACTGTTTTTYGTAAGTTATTTGATTAGTTTATCAAGAAAAACAGTGTAGTGTTATTTGTTTAAATTGCTGTTTTTTGACCAAGTGTTTCGTAAATCTCAGTTAATCAAGAAGAAAATGCTGCTGATTATTATGAATATGATTTTCATTAGAGGATCTACAATCTGATTAAAATTCAGCTAGTGTTTGGCAGGTATGAAGATCTGTTGCGTGTTTAGTTTATTCATTTCTTGTTCATTTACAGAGTTAAAATTTAAAAAGCCTTACAAATAATGAACCTTTTTGACCACCTTTCTTGCTAAATGTGTGCTCCTCACATGTAGTTGTTTGTATTTACTGAAAGCTGCAGAACTATAACTCCTAATGGTTAGTGTTTGTATCAAACAAAYTAAATGCTGCACTCCTTTCTATGCTCTAATGTATTAAATTTGTTTGGCCAAATTTGAATAGCAATGTGGTCACAGATTTTACTGCCAGACTGTGGTRCATGTTTGTGCAGAGGACATATTCTCTTCCTCTGCAGATCTGTTTTTTTTTTTTAAACAAAGCAATTTAACATGAATAAATTGGATTTTTCTTTCTGTGTTGCTGCATTTGTTGCTTGTGTCTAGTTTATCTGTGGAAATACTTGATAGATGGAAGGATGAATAACAGAAAATTCCGTGTGAAGTGAGGGGAAATTGTAACTATTATAGTTTATTTGATAATTATGGTAGAAATTGTGAGAGAAGGAAAAAATAAGGCAAGAAGAAACGCGAGAGAGAGAGAGAGAGAGAGAGAGAGAGAGAGAGAGAGAGAGAGAGAGAGAGAGAGAGAGAGAGAGAGAGAGAGAGAGAGAGAGAGAGAGAGNAGAGAGAGAGAGAGAGAGAGAGAGAGAGAGAGAGAGAGAGAGAGAGAGAGAGACTAATGTAAACATGATGATTGTGAAAGCTGGGTGAGGTATTTCTAAAGCAAATAAAAGAGAGCATTA